AACCAAATTCCTTGTATGTGTCTGCACATATACTTGGCCAATAAACACGATTCTGATTCTGATTACTCCAGAATCAGATTCAGGAGATTAAACAACCTGTGATTGGACTTTCCAAAGTATGACAACAGATCCAAGAGGAGGTGAAGCACCGTAGCTTGTCCTAGGACCATCTGAGTAGGAATAATACACTGAACAATTTGTATAAAAGTTTATGTGTAATAACACCAAAAATATGTTGTTATCACCAGCTTTTATTAATATTGAGTGATAGTGATTTTAGGTTATATCACTAGTCTTGTTTCAGTAGATGATGAGGTTACATGTTTGACATTAACACTTGTGTTTAATTCCACTTGTTATACTGTAATTTATATTGCACTTATTCAGTTTTTAAAGGTGCATTATCATCACTACAATTTCCAAACTTACAAATCTGTAGTTTAGAATTTCCACTCAGCTACTTTTTGTAAATGTCTTTCCTTTTAATTCTTTCAGTTCTCATTTGCAACCTTGAGATACACAACTTTTATTTTTATTTTTTTATTTTATTTTTTTTGCTTAAGCTCAAACATTTCACATTCTCCAGTTGAACTGAGTAATTAATTATGATCCAAAAGTCACAAACACACTGAGTCTGAGAGCTTTGTCTTAGGTCTATTAAAATTGATGAACCATGAGTGAGCGCTCACCCGGAGTCGTCAGAGTCACTGCTGGCAGATTCCGGACAGTTCTGGAGCTTTTTCATCCAGATGAGCTGGAGCTCCTTGCTTGATGCTGCATATACATACTGACTGCCATCCTCCAGTCTGAGAGACAGAAAGCACAACACAAGTACAGAAAAATAAGTCTTCCTAAGAATGTTTTGCATAAGAAAATACGGCATATAATGATGTAAAGAAATGCATAATTGAGACCAAAGTATGACACGGGGAGAATTTATTTGAAAGATCAGTGGTGAGCCACAAATTTTCAAAATTATAATATAGTTTCACAGTGCTAAGAAACAAATACCGTATTTTTCAGACCATAAGGTGCACTGTCAATGACCGGGTCTGTTTTTATACATAAGGCGCAATAAGTGAAACAAAGTCAGATAAGTCAAACTTTACTCATTTCATTCTTCTTGCTTCCTCCACTTCCGTACCATTGATTTATTAACGCTGAATTCTCTCACAGCTACTCTATTCCCATGTTGTTGCAGTATATTAATGACTGACCTCATAGTGTGGATGGATTATCTCAGTTCTCCTGACTGAAGTTTGAGGTTTCCGTTTACAGCATCCTGCCATGCAACTGCATTTGTCTCTAACCATCAGGAACCCTCACCTTAACTTTTATCGAGTGGAAAAAAGTGTTATGTTATGCTAACATAGCTGTGTCACTACCGATCATTACATCATTATATACCAGCTAGTCCAACTTCAGTAACCCTACAAAAGTCGCTGCTGTTTAGTTTTCTGTATTCATTTATGTTGGAAGTGATCCTCGAGGCTCCTGATTACGGTAGCCGCAATGCTTTAACAATCAACCATCAACTTCATACATATGGCGCACCAGATTATAAGCCGCACTGTCGATTTTTGAGAAAATTATTATTGTTATTTGTTATTTCTAACTTTAGCAACAACATTAAAGTCAACTTTCCAATGCTCCAATGTTGTGTTGTGCTTGTGTTTACACTGTCCATGAAGCGTGCAGCTCTTACATTAGTCTGAAAGTGTTCTCCTTCCTTCTGTAGTAGCGATTCTCCCTGCAAACTGCTCCAACTACGTTGATAGGAGGCCACCTAGAGGTCCTCTGTGAAAGCACAACAGAGTTAAACAGTGTAACCTCACTGAGATTATTAGTGAACGTGCAGAGGCAGATGGAGAACACTGTGGTTATAATCCTTCCTGTAGAAAAATAAGCTGCAATATTTTCCTTTTCGTAACGCACTGAGCATGCGTTAGACACGACCTACGCTCAGCTGAGAGTAATTATTCTGTGTCTGAAGAACACAAAAACAGCAGCCTTGGCAGCAAGTTCCTTTGAATTTTGGAATATTTTGAGTTTGACTCCAACAGACATTTCATTTCATTGCATAAACTTAATTGTTTGAAAGCAACTTGAAGTTAAGGAAGTTGAAGTAATTTAATATATGAAAATGTTTCCAATAAAGATGATCATCAAAAACACTTTGAAAGAAAAACGAAAAAATCTCCAGATTTGGATAAAAGTCAAAAACCCTTTTTATGTGTGTCTGAGTCTTCTATCAAAAGTTACAGCTATCTCTATGAATTTGAGGAAAAACCCTTGTTCAAGTTACCCAAATATTTTGAAAACCTTTAAAGTTAGCTTCTGCATTGATTATGGTGGCGTCTATTCAGAGCATGAAGAGATTTTCAAATCCTAAATGAGGACTGAATTAGAAAAAAAGAGAATTATGACTGCCATCTCTATTAATCTCTATTAAAAGGAAGCCCTTATTTGCTTCATTGTTGAATACGTTAGAAAAAGAAATGTGTGAATTTATTATTTTTTTTATTATTTTTAATGTTTTCTTTAAACAAATAAATGCTGTTTTTTGTTGAGTTTCTTTTTCCCGTCATTTCTCAGGATACACTCACACATTCATCTTACATGTGAAAGATCCTCAGTTTGATTTTGGGAGAAGATACAAACCCAGCCTCAGGGGAGCCTAGGTAAACGGGATCGCTGTGTCAAGGACACATGATACCATCAAACATGTCCATCTGCTGTGGTGCTAAACGCACTCAGGACAGGACTTAATTGTTTTTACCCAAACTGCTGTCTTGTCATGTAGGCAGTGCTGTCAGTGATGCTGAGGCTTTTTAATGTTCTCTACCTGTGCAGCAGCTGCTGTGTCTTTAAACAGGCTGAGAGTCTCTCCCTGCAGAACAGCAAAGACCTCCTCCCAGTGCTCCAGACCCTGCAACAAAAGAGGAGCCTCAGCCAATGCTTCAACAGTGGGCACAACAAACAGGCTGCCATAACCCAAAAAGGTTCTCGGGAATAAAAGGAAATAAAAGGAGCACCACTGGTGTCTCTCAAACCACCGGTGCTAATGGAAGGGTAGAGTGGCAAAAAGAAAACTGGCATAAATCATCCAGGTACTCAAAGTAGGTTTCAAAAAGTAATAAAAGACCTTCATTTTACTGGCTAATGGCATTAAAAATACACCAATGTGTATCAGCTTCTGCCGTCTTCAGGGTGTGGATGTACGAGGAAAACAACATAGCAATTCACTCTGCTTATCTCCTCTCACTTTAAGTGGGCAACACTATAATGTTACATTACTTTCTTTAGCCTTTAGAAACAATCCTGAGTACAGCATCTTCCTCCTTTAAGCAGCTACTCAGTACAGCAACAAAATCACAACTGGATACCTTGTAAAGAGCACGATTTCATACTGTGTTAGCAACCACGGTTTTCATTTATTACAAGACATAAAAATTGGAAAATCCAACTGGGAAGCCGAATAGCTCCTTTTCCATCAGGTTGTCCATCCAGTTTGATAGAGATGTGGAAATAAAATTAAAAACATATCAAACAAAGAAGCACGTTGGGTTCATGCCCAATATGAAATTTTGTTTTTAGATATCTTTATAAACTACCATTCTCTATCCTATCATCAGTTACAGATGTGCAACATGTCTCTCACCTTGTTTCCTCCTTGTTTCAGCTTAATCTCCAACACGCCCTCCATTCTGATTGGCTCCCCAGGTGTGACCTGGCAGTAAGTATGACAGGTGTGAGAACATGTGGTTGATGATGATTATTAATTTAATGAATAAGACAGTTTATACCTCAGGTTCGGGTTGTCCCTCTGCTAGATCTAAAGACTTTTGTTGAGGTCTAGGAGAAGGGGGAATAAGGTCAACCATGAGTTAACTTACTTTTTAATGTTTTTTGTATAATTATGTGTGCAATT